AACGTAGCCTAATTATAATATAATTTTAATTGAATCTTTTATCTTCTAATAAAGTATGATTTATTTTTAAATTAACATTATCTTTTTATATTTATCTTTATTTACTAAGATGTTTCACTTTAAAATAAATATAAAATAATTTATTTATTACAGGTACTTTTGAAAAAGGTACATTAATTATATCTTGAAATACAAAAAAAAAATACCTCACATTTTTTAATGAAGAGTATATATTTCCATTCATTAAAAATATTTTTATACTCTCTCTGATCTTATTTTAAATGTTGACAATTTTTTTATGTATTAATAAGTCATTATCGAATATTTATAAGTAATTGTTCAAATATTAACAATAAGGTGTCCTTAATTAACAAAAAGTCAGGAAAATGTTTGAAAAAACAAATATCTTTTTATTTAGCATAATTTTGATAACTTATCAATACTGAAAGAACAAGTCATAAAAAATCAAACATGTTGAAATTCAAAAATTAAAATTTTTTTTATGTATTAATAAGACATGTTTGAATATTTACAAGTAATTGTTTGAATATTTACAACAACTCATCCTTGATCAATGGCAGCTCACCTAAATGCTTGAAAGCCAAAGTTATAATATTCTTTAGTAATGACATTTTTAGGCATGATTCAATGCTTCAAAATAAAAGACACTTTGATAAAAGTAATGTTTTAGTAATGATATTCCTTTAATACTATCTTTCTCATTATATTCTCTTATTTTAATATTCTTTCACAAATAGAGCATTAAATTGGCAAACCAACATTATTTACAACCTCCAAGGTTCCAATAGCTAAATAATAAATTAATTATAAAAAATTTTGAAATATAAAAAGAAAATTTCGCTGCATGAAAAAATTTGAGAATTTATTGAGGATTAAAATTTTTAACAGTTATAAAAATAATTTAAAATGGAGAATTCACCTTAAATAGTATAAATTAGAATTTAATTTCAAGCAAAGTAATAATAATAAATAAAATAAGATGATTAAATGAAAATATGTATATATGAATATATTTATACTTTTTTGACCAGATGAATATATTTATATTTGTAGCATAAAATAGTGTATATATATATATATATATATGTATTTATGTATAATAATCAATATTTTTAAATAAGGTGAGTTGGTTAAAATTTATTTATATTTAAAATTAAGGAAAGTAATATACGTCGCATGATGCATACTTATTTTCTTGTCTACATGTCTACTATAACGTTTGACTTTTATGCTGACTTTATAATAAGTTTATGTCACAATTTAGAGGCTAATTAAATTATTTGTTGGTGGTTATATAAAATAAAAAATTACTCTCACTAATTATTAAGGAGGACATAACATCCTTTTAATTAGGGGAGATTGTGATGACTTTCAAATAAGATGTAACAATATTCCTTAAATAGGCCAACAACTGTTATCTAATTATAAATTAATAAGGATTTAACTCATAACTCATCATGAGTTTAAATCTTGCAATTAATGTGAGAACTGTGGTGATGAATGATCTGTATATCATTACCTTGGTAAATATTCTTCAAAATTTAGAAACACATCCCCACTTTAGTAAACTTTTGTAACCTAATTCACCTAACTTTTTATTTTATAAAAGAAAAAAAATACTTCATTCATTAAAAAATGTAAAACATTTTTTTAGGAATTGAGTGTTAAGAAATGTATTGCTTTTTTCATATTTCAAGTTATAATTAATGTATTGTTTTCAAAAATAACCTTAATAAATAAATCATTTTGTATTTATTTTTAAGTAAAATACCTTATTAAATGTGAGTAAATATAAAATATAATATTAATCTGAATACAATTAACTAATTTATTGAAGGATATTGATCGATTTAAAATGTTTTATATATTTTAATAGAGATTAATGTTAAATGGGGTTTTCATATCACTGTTTAAAAAAAATGGGGTTTTCATATCTATTTAATAGCTAAAATATATAAAACTCTTCATCAACTTTAAGTCAAATGTATATAACTTCCGTCATATTTAAATGTTTTAACCTTTAACTTTCAAATTTCGATAATTGACCCCTTATTGTTAAAGTGACCATTAAATTTAATAAAATTGATGCCACGTCGACTATTCAAAATTATCGGCAGGTGACATGTAATTTATTGTATTTTATTAATTTATCCTGACTTAATTTACTACTGGGCAATTTTGTAATTTGACTAATAGCAATCCCTAATTCCTATCGCCTTGCATTGTGTTTTCCTGTTGCTCTCTTCGTCTCTGCAAGTCTTTCATGTCAGTGATGGGTTCTTAATCTTCTAATCATGATCTTCAATTGACAATTCATATGCGTCCTATTTCTGTCATCTTTTTTCTTAAATTCTTGCAATGGTATTATGTGAACATTTTACGCAAATATTTGAAAGTATCTGTAAGGTTGGTTTTTTTCCCCCAGTAAATAGTGAAAGAAGCGGCTAAGAAAAGAACAAAGCTTGCACGACATTTCATTGGGGCAATGCTGTGGAGAAAATGTAGCCATTTGTTTCTCTGTAGTTGGCCTTCAATTTCTACGAGTTGTCAGGACAATCAAGATTGATTTTTGACATGAGCTCTTTTTAATGCTTCTAGGGATTTGTCGGCCACAAGAAATTAATTAGTGTTTTCCTATGGAAGGCAATCACAAGTTTAAGGAAATAATTGTAGATTTGATGAAAGAAAGTGATGGACGCATGTGGATGATTTTTCAAATGGAAAAGATGATTAGAAGTCAAATGACACATACTCCCTCCGTTTATATATATATATATACATAAAACTTTATCACACAGTGAAAAAAAATTATTTAATTATAATAATTATATTTTAAAATAAAAAATAGGTTAAAATGTTCTGTATTAATATTATTTTTTATTAATATAAATTATAAAAAATAATTTAAAAATATATAATAAATACTTAGCAAACTATGTGATTTTACTTATATAAAAAAATAAAAAATAATCATTTCTCTTATAAATAAAAATGGAGTAATAACAAGTAAGAAATACTTTTCTTTGAATAGAAACACAAAATTGCCCTTACGCAAATTGAGAGAATAAATTAACTAAATACAATAAATTACATGCCATCTATCAAACAATTTTAAATAGTCGGTATGAATTTCATTAAATTTAATAGCTACTTTAACCGCTTGGAGTTGATAGTCAAAATTTTTAAAGTTGAGGGTGTGATTTTTAAAATTTTAAATGTGAGGGAGGTTGTATATCAACCTAAAGTTGGTGGGAGTTTTGTGTGTTTTGACCCTATTTAATTACATAAAAGTCACTACTATGTATCATTACGAGATTGATCACAACACTAAGAAATTCATTGAATAGAGACAATAATTCATTTTCAATGGTTCAGATTATTGATATTAATTACAGACAATGAAGTAACAGATCGTACAGTAATTGAGTTTTATTTTTGGTGAAGCGTTATCATCAAATATATATTTTTACCAACCATATGAATTTAAATTAAATAGGTAATTCAGGTGAAAAAAATTAAATAGAATTAGTACGACAATACACGTGACTTTAATGAAGGACGTGTACCACAATCAGGCTCCCTTATTGTTATGTCTCGCATGGAAAGAATTTGGAGGAGGGTCCTCACCACATATGTGGACACATTGTATATTATACTCCTTTCATTTTAAATTATAAGATATTTTTAAGAAAGATTAAGCATCCTAAAATATAAAACACTTTGATAAAAATAAAGTTTCATTAATAATACTTTTTCATTATTGCCCTTCCCATATATTCTCTCTCTTCAATATATTTTTTATCAATAGAGTATTAAATGAAGGGCATTTTTGAAAGTTTATATTTTTGAAAGTAAGGTTGTAAAGTGTATTTAATGAGTTTTATTGATATGTAAGATTTTATTTAAAAGTATCTTATAATTTAAGACAGAGGGAGTATTAAGCTAAATTTTTGAAAAGAGAGTAATAACTCTAATAAAGTAATGTTAAAGTCAAACCTAAGTTTGTCTAGTTAGCGAGCCACCCGTAACAAATCATTATGGATTGGTGAGAAGCATTTAAGTCTCACACCATAAGAACTTGGAAAGACTCTTGATTATATAAGTGGATGCACACTGAGATAGTTTTTTCTTTTTAAAAAGAAAGAGAATAATATTCTCGTGACATTTTGTCCTACATATGGATTACAGTCAATGTTATACATCAATCATGTTTTTCAAGTGGAAATTGATGAATAAAGATCTTATAAGAATATTAATATCAAGTTAAGATCTTTTCATAATTAATATTTTTAAATTTAATATTTATTTTTTCATGTTTTAATATTAATTTAAAAAAAACCTTGATTTAACGTTAATCTTCTTGAAGTACTTACATGTCATTCTCCTTTCTTTTACTGTTAAATATTTTTTTCTAATAATATTGTTTCCCATTTTTTTATTTATAATGTGAGAGTATATTTCTATTGTGTGTGTGTGTGAGACAATTCCGGAGCCCTCTTCCTTCTCTCTCAATAATATAATTCATTTACAATGTCAATATATATATATATATGAGAAACATGGTTATATATATATATATATATATATGAGAAACATGGTTATTTTTTTAGCTAGCTAAACATTTTTCTTACATAAAAATGTTCGCTATTTTTTAAAATCGTAATTTATTTTGATCTTCAACAATTTCATAATATTTTTCCACATTAAAATTTATGCAAACTTATATATTTAAATCGCTATATATGGATATGTTGGCACATGAACACAGTAAATCTTAAGAAAAAACTTATATATTTAAGCTTATATATTTAAGGTGTTTGTATCCAATTAAATCAAGATACGTGGATTTTGTACAAAATTATTTTTTTATAATAAATTTTTTATATTATAATCCACATGTCATGATTTAATTTAATATATTTAATTTAATATAAATATATCAAGTATATAAAATTAAATACATAAGTCTTACCCTGAATTTTATAGTTACATGCACATGAAGATTTTTCTTCCGTACAAAAGGAAGCGAGCTATCTAACGCACGAGAGAAATGAGAATCCAAGGCCCAAGTAATTTCGTCGGCGTGTGGGGATAATCACAGAAGAACTTGATCATAAAGCAACGACTTGACTTGCGACTCTAGCTTGGGAAGGCATTGATTGTGATCGTAACTATACATTAATGGCACCATCCTCGCCAGATTCAGAGACGCCTTCCTAAACGACGAGCCAAACGTGTCGTCCAATACGAACTCTCTGTGGAGACTCTTCCACGCTTCTGAGATCTTACCCATCACCACCTCTGTCGCCCTTTCCTCCTCCATCATCTCCTTCATCACACATTCCATGTACGATCCATCCTTTCCCTCCTGATTCTCGTCCTGCAAATTATTCATTCCTTATGAACTGACAACATATCTTTACTATGTCTATCATTCTGGTTCGAAACTTAACGAAGCGTGGAAGATATCAGACTAGTCTCTGTGAAAATGTTTACCTCAGCACTTCCCAGGTCATCCCAGAGGCGAAGAATTGTGGCAGTGGAAGAGATAATGGTTGGATTATTGTCAATCTTTTGCACAGTTTCTTGAGAGATTCGTTGACCCAACAGAAAGAAAATGTGAACCAGCACTACATGCACTCCCGAGCTTACTATCCCATTCTTCAAGTACTCTTCCGCACTAGGCATCTTCCCTGACGCAAACCATTTTGCTTCTATCAGAAATGCCTCGCACAACCTTCCCCACTGTACAGTTCGAGCAAAAAAAAATATATATATAAGTCAATGAAAAATCTTTCAAACTATAAGAACATATCTGATTGCGATACTGCTCAATCAATGTATTTACCGCCTTTCGAAGGGACGCACTGGGGTTCCATCCATGTTTTTGATATACCTTGTAGCTGATTTCATTGGTGACATCATAGACTGCCTTGAAACACATTTTCATGTAATCTGGTAGTTTTTCGGTAGCTTCAATATCCCATCTGCATGCATTATTCAAACATTGTCGATTTTTCATATTCTTTAACTTCTAGCTGAAATATTATTTGTAGGAATGATCGACAACGTTTGACTTGTACCTGGTAACAGCTTTTGTGAAAAGAGTTAATTCTTCAAGGGTTCCATAGATATCAAATATGTCATCCATTAGGTAGATGAAGGAGATTGGTTTGGTGAGCTCGACTCTTTCTTCTGAAAAGGATGGATCTGTTAAGCATGCCAATGACCAAATGTACCATTTCAGTGGTTGGTTTCTTGCATACTTCAACTCGTTAGCTAAACCGAGTTCAGTCCACCATCTGGAAGAAAAAAAGTTTAAATATAATTGATGAATATGTTGACACGAAAATTTATAAAATGGATTTTTGAAGTATTTCATATTAAAGCGTACTTGGAAATATGAATAATCTCCGTTTGGTAAGCGGATTGGAGCAAATTGAAGTTCATTTTGGCCACACCTTGTAAGGCATTGACCCATCCATTCATTCCATGGCTGCCTTGAAAGAAGTTTCTGGAAGTGAAAATCGGCAGACTTCTGTGAAAAGGTTGCTCCAAAGTTCTCCTCACAAACTCAGCTTTATCAGCGCTGAGATAAGCACTTCTTTCTTTGAGAATCTTCCCGCCAAATTGTTCGGCTTCATCAAGTATGGCTTCTCCTTCCATTCTTAACTGTGAAGCTTCATATAAATCTATCATTCCCTTGATATCTTCACCTACCTTCTGGTTAAACTTTCCCTCCTTTCCTGTAAACTTCTCAAACACCTCTGCAACCAGAAGGAAAACCGTGTTATCAGTCTTTCAATATATATCATGTGTGTTGTGTTTTCGGTTCCCACCTGCAGGTACATAGTGACCTTGCTGCCTCAGCAGGCGGAAGCGAAGAGCAACCTCATGAAGATGATCATGACCATAGCCACTTCCATAAGTTCCGGAGATCGTGTGTTGGGCTGCTAGGAATTCGTTAATTTCTTCTTGGAAGTGGTAAGCGATGTTCAGGCGATGCATAGCATCAACCATTTGAAGACCTTTCAATGAATTTTCACCCACATTCTTAAGAGCGTTCTGGCACAATTTCAGCTCTCCTTCCAGGTTATGGCAGAGGTGATCCTGCCATGGAAGAATGAAAGTTAAAAACTCAAGGCTATAAAGAAACAGTGCATATAACACGGTAAGGATATAAGGAAATGACTTACAGAGTTTGTGAAAGGGGTGGAAGGGCTTTTGTCAGAAATGATCCATTTGTTAGCAGTAGGCAGAGAATGGAGTCTGAAAGAGGAGGATCTGTGAGCAGAAAGCTCAGCTTTTGTGGAAGGAAAATGGGGATTGCTGGAGAGAACGATGGATGATTTCATATTGATCAGTGCCATGAAATGAAAAATATTTAACTTCTCAGAGAGGGATGAATATCTTCTTTTCTGCGATGCCTGAGGGAGGAAAATTTTTCAGCGATACTTATAGGAGTCTTCCACCCACCAGGCCACGACACGTGACTGAATATTGAATATCTATAATTGTATGGGAGAATGATATAGATATTCTAAAAACATCAGTTAATTTAAGATTTAACTTAGATCTCAAATATTAAATTTTAAAATTTTATAACTAATCTCTCAATTTTGCAACTCCATTGTAATGACTTTGCAACTTATATTCTAAATTTTAATAAAAAAATAATTTGTTTATTCTTCAACCATCTTAAAATTTAGAAAATAAATTGCAAATTCATCACAATGTAGCTGTAAAATAAAAAGATTGAGTTATAAATTTATTGAGCTTGACACTTTAAACCTAACTTAAATTAATTAATTATTTTGGAATCTCTTTGTCATTTTTCCTAATTGTATTTCCAAATCTTTCTCTTGCTCTTGATATTGAATAAATTCGCTCTGTCTGGGTCCTTAAATGTTATTCCCCCTTGCACACCATGAAGTTTGAGCTAAATTATGTTATTTATGATTTAGGAATAGTATGAAATTAGATTTATTTCCTCGTGCCCTGCACACGGGGATAGGAAATTTTAATATTTACAGATAAAAATAAAATATATAAATTAAGGTTCAAAAATATCCAAAAAAAAATTTAGAAACATCTAATATTCTTAAGTCAATAATAGTGCATTGACATCCATTAATTTTATACAAGAAATCAACATTTCTCAACCAGTTAAAATAAACCCATTTTGACTGTTAACTTAAGGATAGAACTTAATATATTGAAAATGGTTGGTTCCTTTTATAAAAGTATGAGTACCCATTAACATAATTGATATAAAAAATAATTATTTAAAATTAACAATATTACAGATTAGATGATTGAAAAGTTTTTTAATAAAATTAAAAGATCAAACAGAAATATTATATAAAATAAGAGAACCAAAAGTGCAATGCTTTAACCCTATATTTTATTTCCTGATGTTCTTATTGGCTATGGGTAACAAGTTTGCTAATATTGTAGGTAATATAATAATTCAAATGGCTAAAGGACAGAGCAAGAGTAATTAGAAGTAAATTGTAAGTAGAATCCGTTAATAGTATAATTTAATGAAAACATCATTCAACACTGTAGCTATTTATTTTATTCGAAGGTCGAAAAATCTAAAATTTTGCTGTAAGATTAAGGACCAGACTATATATTAAAAATAAGTTTTGTTGGTTAATTATCAAAATACCATATATTAATTTAAGCCTTATCCATCCACATTGGTGCCCGGTTTATTGTCAGCTGCTGGAGCCCATCGTTAGTGGTGCTCGGCGACATAAGTTGCCGCTTGCTGGAGCTCTACCGACGGCCATAAAAATTTGGAAAAAAATAGCAACTAACAACTTCTTTATACAATTTATATTAATTAAGGATAAATTATTATTAAAATTCAAATAAATTTTTATTGATAAACAAACTCCAATAAATTTTTGCTAATTTAGAATAAGTTAGTGTTAAAATTTAAATAAATATTAGTTAATAAAAGACTAACCCGAATTAATAAATATCTATTCCAATTTTGACATCAATTAGTTAATGTCATTAACTGATATAAATCTCATACAGAGATCCCTTAATTGTTATTTTTAAAAAAAAATTTTGTTAAATGATTAAGAGGAGATTTGAACTCATGAGTTTTTGGTTCATTAAAAAAATTTATAACCATTAAACCCCCACTATTTTTTAATTATATAATGCAAAATATTTTCTTGTCGAGTACAAAACTATCCTAAATAATTTCAGTAATGCATTAGTTGATGTTTTGTTCAATGGAGGAGTTCAATGTATTTATTATTTAATGAACTCCTCGAAATGGCACCAAACATTTATGCATCGAACACATTTTCTTAGACATGGGATTAACAAAAATTGTTTTGAAAATTTTGGGACTTACGAATAATTTGTCAGTCATATTTTTTGAAAAAGTTATATATAAGTCTCACATAAAAAAATTTCTAATCAAAAGGTCTAATAAACTCAGGTCCTGGTATTGGCACTGGTGGGAGATATACATGATTTTAGATTTAAAAGTAAACAGTATTGACCCTCGTTAAATTGGAGTACACTGAAATACTTGGATGTTAATGTCAAAAGCCTTCATGGTTATGTCCTGTCCCATCCTCCATATAGCAGTCACCCTAGAGTGAGTGTTTTATTTGCCCTTGAAACGTGCAAAATAATGCAATGGCAAGGCGACAAAAACTCAACTGTTTTTTATCCGTCTCTTAACAACCAATTTTTGTCCCAGAAAAGGAAAAATTACATTTAAATTTCAGAAAAAGAATTTATTATCAAAATATTTCATAAAATTCATAAAATACTCTCACGTTTTAAATCTTGAACATTCACAACTTAATTAAGAGTATTAATAATTGGATAACAGTTATTTATAACTTGCTATTGCAAGTTATTATTTTCTAACAAGTTGTAAATAACTGTTGTTTAATTATCAATGTTCTTAATCAAGTTGTAAATATACAGAATTTTAAACTTGAGAGTATTTAAGAATAACATTTTTAAAATTAATAATTTTAAAATAATTTAATAATTTAAAAAATATTATACCATGTATAGTTTCAAGTTATGAAATCGTTAAACAATTATTTCATTATCAATATTATAAAAATATTTTTTAATATAAGTTACCAGATAATTATTTATTAATGAATCTCCTATATGTTTTGCATTCGATTTTTCAAAAATTTCATATAAAAAAGTTTCTTTTTTTTTTAACTATTGCTGTGACAATTGATAATATCATTTTTAACTTCAAAAAAATAATTTTTTTAAAACTCAAACATTTTTAAAGTTGAACTAAGGGGTGTAAAATATTGAAACATATGAACTCTTATAATTTTTCTAAGTTGAGGGGGTGTATTTTGCCCTGTCAAGTCTATGTAACACCGCCTATACCTCCCACTGTACTCCTTTAAAAATATTATTTAAATTTTAAAAAATATAATTATTAATTTCTATATTTTTATTAGATTTTGCTTATAATCTCTACATTTTTTTAATGTTTTTAATTTTTATAATTTTAACAAAATTGAGTGATATTTATGATTCAATTCTTTATAATTTTAATGTTTTTAGTGTTTTCAGGGATTGAAAATACTAAAAAAAACTATATAGATTAAGAGTAAAATTTAATAAAACTAACCGGATTAATGATTATTTTTTCATTTAAATTTCTGTTAGAATTACATCCTTTTTAATTAAAATGTCCTTTTTTCTAGTATCATTTTTTTAGGTATATTTTGATCATCTACGCTTTCATCTTATCCTACCAAGAATCATTAAATAAAAAAAATTCATTTTTTTCCTAAACATTCTAAACCAGATTTTATGTTGCATGTTTTTCTCATTGTGGAAAATATGTTGATCAAATATATTCTGGTTCAACAACTCCGTGGTCATGGTTCCGTCGTAAAAAGCATTGTCAATGGAATAATCAGGTAACTTTGGTACATTGAAATTTCACTAAGAAAAAATAAAATTAAAATTAGAATCATACTTTCATTGATTTGATATGCACAAATTTAAATTTTTTATGATTTTCAATTTCATCAAAATACCCCTAATTCAATTCCATTCATATCATGATGGAATTGGGACAATTCCATGAAATTGCCATTCACTACCACAGAATAAACTAAATATGATATCATATATTTGACAATTATAAGATAAAAATAATAAATAAAAAAGCGCTAAATGCTTAACGTTTGTTTTGAAACAACTATCAAGTATTTACATATGTACTTGACGATTATATTATAATAACTGTCAAATATATCTTTTATCTTAGATTATGTTTTTTATAAATATATTTGATGCTTGTTTGCATATCACCATCAAGTATATTTTTCAAATACTTGACGATTATATATAAACAAGCATCAAATATATAATTTAAAAAAATTGATAAAAATTAATTACTTGAAGATGCTTGTTTTGAAAAAATCATCAAGTATGTCTGGCTAATATTTGATAGTTTTTTGGTAATAAGCTTCAAGTAAGTAATACTTGACCGTTATTACTAAATAACTATCAAGTATTGCCTTTTAAATTTTCACTCTAGAACTTTTCATTTTCACATTTTTGCAACTTGAATGGTTTCAAAAACACTCTCAAATTGCCCGAAAATCATTTTCTATCACAAGAGCTACCTAAAAACACAATTGATACTTGATTCATCTTTGGTTTTGCTTGTGGGTTCCAATTTCTAGGGTTCGTGCATGGTTCGTTCATGCAATACTTCATTTCATATTTCGTTCACCATCCGTTGCATATGTAAATTTTTCTTTCATCTTCCTAATTCATTTATGGGTTTAGTGTTTATGGTAAATCTGATATGAAATTCCACTACTTGTTTTTCAACAGTGCAAAACGTGGTCTTCTCTCCTCCTCCTCTCTTTTTCTTCTTCATCCTCGTGTTCTATCTCTCTCCAGTAAGTTAGCCTATCTTTCTTCCCTGTGGTATTGTTGTCAATTGATTGGAATTAGTGATTGGAATATGAAGTTTTTGTTCATTAGAGCTATTTTTATGATTGGATGTGTAGCTTTTGGTTTTAGGTTCTTTGTTAATTATGAAATTAAATTTAGGATTATATGGAAAATATTTTACTATTGGACATTATATAATTTTGTTGAAAATTTGATTTCCTTATTTGTGGTGATGGTGATAATTTTGTTATTGGATAACTTGATTAGGTATGATTAAGTTATATTAAATTTTTAGGATGAAATTTTTGTATCAATTGTTGCTGTATAATTTGATTGGGTATAATTATTATATAAGAACTTGCATGATAAAATTTTTTAATAAAGAGAGAGTTCAAAACCCGGGGAACTCTCTTTTTTGAGCCATTATGATGATGAATTTTTTAGGATGAAATTTTTATATTAATTGTTGTTGGGTAACT